CTCTTTTCTCCTCTTCTTCTCTTTCTTTGACACAAGAGAAACAAAGTTTATATATGGTTCAAAAGTTGTGACGTACGTTTGCAACCGTACGTTTAAATAATAACCATAAATTGAATAGTTGCAATGGTTAATTTAATAACCGTCGGTTTACACTTAAATTTATAACATTCCTCCCCCATTTAAGTGTAATCTTTGATTCACAAAATTAACAACACATAAACCAAACTCATGCATAAATGTAAATATCGTAACGATTGAATTTACATCTTAGTAATATTACACATTCCAAATGCTCGAGAATCAAGATGTCCTACGGATTGAATCCTTCAACTCATTTTGAGCACATGAAGATAATACACACACGAATTCACTCACTACTCTAAGTGTTTATCCTTGACACTATTATAAGCCATGTGTCCTTATCCTTTCATGAGTGTGTACAAAGCCAAGTCCGAGCTTCTTGAAGCGGCTACACTTCACACCCATATAGGTAGATCTTTTAATCTTGCACCTGCAAAATGCAATTTTTCAAAAGATCTATTAAGAAGAAAACTTCAACCTAACCTTTTCTTGCAGATCTAAGCACTTACTTTGGGATGATTTAAACTAGTGCTTCAATCTCTAAGTGTGGGCTTTCCGCATTGAATTCAGCCTCTAACGTTGTATTAGAGGGGAATTGGGTATCCCACCATTAGAGATTTCAAATGGACTTTAATCCCATCCCTTTAGCCGACTTGATCACCAAGTCTCTAGCTAGTCCTTTTGTCAAGTGATCCGCTAGATTTTGCTCAGACCGAATAAATCCTATAGTAATCACCCCATGAGTGATCAGCTCACGTATCCCGCTATGTCTCAAGCCTAGGTGTCGCGACTTACCGTTATACACTTGGCTATAAGCTTTAGCCAAAGTAGCTTTACTATCGCAATGGATAGAAATGGGTGACACCGGTTTCGGCCACAATGGAATCTCGGAGACTAAGTTTCTTAACCATTCCGCCTCTCTCCCTGCAGCCGCTAACGCTACAAATTCCGATTCCATAGTAGAATTTGTAATACAAGTTTGTTTCTTTGATGCCCATGAAATGGCACCTCCCCCAAGTAGGAACACCCAACCACTTGTAGAAGAATGATTTTCCTCGTTGGTGTTCCAACTTGCATCCGAATATCCTTCTAAGACCGAAGGAAATCCAAAATATGACAAACCATAATTTATGGTTCCTTTCAAGTACTTGAGCACCCGCCTTACAGCTTGCCAATGATGAGTACTAGGATTACTAGTATATCTACTCAACTTTCCTACCGCATAAGCTATATCCGGTCTAGTGCTAGTCATGGCATACATTAAGCAACCAATTACTCGTGAATACTCGAGTTGTGATACCGCTTGTCCCGTATTAGGCATAAGCTTCACGCTCGCATCCATGGGAGTGCTCACGGGAGAACAATTTTCATAATTGAACTTTTTAAGCACTTTCTCAATGTAATGTGATTGAGTTAAAGATATTCCTTTGTTCTCACGCTTGATTCGAATTCCAAGAATCACCTCCGCCTCCCCCATGTCTTTCATGGCAAAATTTGATGATAAGAACTCCTTTGTAAGTTCTACTTGTCTAAGGTTGGTACCAAAGATCAACATGTCATCAACATATAAACAAATGATCACTCCATTACCGGAATCATCAAATTTGCTATACAAACACTTGTCCGACTGATTTAATTTAAACCCATTTGACAAGACAGCCTCATCAAACCTTTGATGCCACTGTTTAGGTGCTTGCTTTAGACCATATAATGACTTTACCAACTTACACACCTTATGTTCATTACCAAGCATAACAAACACTTCGGGTTGTTTCATATACACCTCTTCTTCCAAGACGCCATTTAAGAATGCCGTCTTGACATCCATTTGGTGGATCACAAGGTTATGAATGGATGCCAAACCAATTAATAACCTTATAGAGGAGATCCTAACAACCGGAGCATATGTATCAAAATAATCAATGCCTTCCTTTTGTCTAAAACCTTGAACAACCAACCGAGCCTTAAATTTGTCGATCGTTCCATCGACTTTCATCTTCTTCTTGAAGATCCATTTGCATCCTAAAGGCTTGCAACCGGGTGGAAGATCCGTTAAGAACCACGTATTATTTCCCATGATGGAATCCATTTCATCATTTACGGCTTCTTTCCAAAAAATAACGTCATTAGACGTCATAGCCTCACTAAAAGTTCTAGGTTCATCATCAATATGATAACAATATGAGTATTGAAAACCAATCTCATCTCTTGACCCTTCAACTAAGTAAAGTTGAAAATCGGGACCGAAAGATTTTTCGATTCTCCCTCGTTTACTCTTACGAAGCGTAGGTGACTCGTTAGGAGGAACGAACATGTCGTCTCTTTTCTTTGTTCCACTTGAACTAGGAACTAAATCCTTTGGTCTAGGTATCGATGAAAAACGATTCTCATCAAATATTGCATCTCTTGACTCAATTACGGTGTGAACCGCTATAGAATCATTAGGTTCTATGACATAAAACCTATATGCCTTGGAATGCAAGGCATAACCAATGAAGATGCAATCAATACCTCTTTCTCCCAAAGTCTTAATCTTTGGTTGGGGTAATCTAACGATCGCCCTACAGCCCCAAACTCGAAGATAGTTCAAGTTTGGTTTCTTTTTATACCAAAGTTCATATGGAGTAACTTTGTTCCTTTTGTTGGGAACTCTATTTAATAAATAACAAGCCGTTAACATGGCTTCACCCCAAAATCCGTCACTTAATCCCGAGTAAGATAACATGGAATTAACCATTTCTTTTAGAACTCTATTTTTCCTCTCGGATATACCATTTTGTTGTGGCGTATACGGAGCCGTAGTCTCATGTATTATGCCCACAGACTGAAAATACGTAGGATCATAATACTCCCCACCTTTATCCGTGCGTAACTTCTTAACCAAGTCACTATGTTGTAATTCAACCTCGGTTTTATAAACCTTGAATTTATCTAAGGCCTCATCTTTAGCATGTAATAAATATACATAACAAAAACGAGAATAATCATCTATGAACGTGATGAAATATTTCTTGTTTCCTAAAGATGGTGTAGCATGTAAGTCACATAAGTCACTATGAATAAGTTCAAGCACCTTTGAATTTCTTTCAATGCTTTTAAAAGGTTGTCTAATTATCTTAGTCAACATGCATGTTCTACACTTCTCTATATTCACGTCAAAAGTAGGAATTAATCCTTCTTTAGACATATCAATCATTCTTTTATAATGCACGTGGCCTAATCTTGCATGCCATAAAGAAGTATCATTTTTGCTAGAACATGCCATGTAAATAGAATTGACAACTTTATTAATATTAAGCATAAACATGCCATTACAAAAGTATCCAAATCCAACAAAGATACCACACTTAGATAAGACATACTTATCTGACTCATACACTTGTTTAAATCCACACTTATTTAAAACACTACCGGAGACTAAGTTTTTCCTAATTCCGGGTACATGAATTACATCATTAAGATCAAGAGTTTTCCCGGAACTAAACTTTAACACCACTTTTCCACGACCTAGGATAGGAGCGGTTGACTCGTTGCCCATATAAAGTACAGATCCATCTTGAACCGGCTCGTACGTCTTGAACCAGCCACGATCCTTGCAAACATGTATTGTTGCACCCGAGTCAATCCACCATGCCACCTCATCATCCTGCACATAGAATGCCTCAGCTATTTTTGATACATAATACACTTTTGAGTATGAATCAAAAACAAAATTCTGACCTTGATGAGAGGATGGGCCTTGATCCTTAGACCCTTGCCCAAAACGGTTTTGTTGCGTTTTATTCTTATCCTTTGCTGCCCGACAATCACGTTTGAAGTGACCCGGCTTGTTACAAATCCAACAAACGCTCTTGAATCGTTTGTTAGATCCATCATTGGTGTTGTTAGTAAAGGGGCGCTTCTTCCCCTTGTTCTTTATTTTAGAACTCCCACTCTCCTCCATCATATTGATTGAAGAAGTTTCAGCCTCCTTATCTTTGGGTTTTCCACCCTCTTGCACCCTTAGAGATTCCTCTATGCGCAAATGGCTACCAAGTTGTACAAGAGACAACTCTTCCTTTTTGTGTTTTAACATGCGCCTAAAATCTTTCCACGAAGGCGGCAACTTGTCGATGATACACGACACCGAGATGGATTCATCCATCTTCATGTTGTGTTGAGCGAATTGGCCTAGGATGCGAAGTAATTCATTGTATTGCTCCATTACCGGCCTTGAATCGGACATCTTGTAATTATTAAAATCACTCACAAGGAACTTCTTACTAGAAGCATCCTCGGCCATGTACTTCGATTCCAACGCATCCCATAGTTCCTTTGCGGATTCGACATTTTGATAGACATCAAAGAGAGAATCAGACATACCGTTGAGAATGTGGCCACGACATATGTAGTCATCGTTTTCCCACTTAAGTTGCTTCCTTGTCTCCTCCACGGACTCGTTCTCACCATTCTCCGACACGGTGGGCATTGGCACACTTAGAACGTGAACCACATTGAGCGTTGTGAGGAGAAAGTGCATCTTCTTTTGCCATCTTCTAAAATCAACTCCTTCAAACTTATCCAATTTGCCAAACTTTGACGTCATCTCACGCACAGAAACATTAGCCATTGTTCACCGTAAATACTCTTTAAGATTGTTGTGTATCGACGTTGTATCTCCGGGACGTAACGAACGTGAACTTGGATAGAGATTGAATCGCGCACGAGAGCACTTTCCTTAAAGAGTATTTCGACCCTTCTCAAGCCTTGGGTTACACGAAATCCCTTCTAGGATAAGACAATCAAAGTTCTCTCTTGTTCTAGGCTAAGACACAAGAGAAACAAATAGAGCTTTTTGTGTTTTGTTTTTGTGTTTTGCACTAAAGATTAAGACAATCTTTAGTCTCGTGAATCTCTCTTTTCTCCTCTTCTTCTCTTTCTTTGACACAAGAGAAACAAAGTTTATATATGGTTCAAAAGTTGTGACGTACGTTTGCAACCGTACGTTTAAATAATAACCATAAATTGAATAGTTGCAATGGTTAATTTAATAACCGTCGGTTTACACTTAAATTTATAACAGAGATCGAACTGAAACATGTTTCTCGACAGATCCAGTTGTCTTGTTGTTTTGTTCCGTCCGAAAAACATGGAACCATCTCCGGTGAAACTATTTCCCGACAGAAACACTGCGTTGAAGTCGTATTTTGACAACGATTCCGGTATTTTCCCTGAAATGGAGTGTCATAAAACCCGGGATTTATAAATTTGTCACAAAATCTTAATCTGGCGCCAGATCTGAAAATACAAATTTGTTTCCAACGAGAAGATTATACTATAATAGTATTTATTGAGAAGAAATAATCTATATATAATAGCAATCTAATAAATATCATTTGCACATCTGAACGGTTGCGTCTTTTTATCGCAACCTTTCGTTTAAATCGGTTATTTTTTTTACGGTTATGTCTTTTTATTGAATTTTCTCTTTAAATTTTCGTTGAATTATTTACGGTAATATTTGTTCAATTACAGTCGTATCTTTTCAGTTTACAATTATATCTTTAGAGTTGCATTTATTCATTTAAAGTTACGTCTTTTCATTATATAATTTCATTGCATTTTTTGTATAGTTAGTAATACTACGAAGTTTTTTTACATCAACCATTAGACTACATATCAAATTAGTTTTATTAACCAAAATAACAACCTCAATAAATGTATTTTGCACTTCTGAACGGTTGTGTCTCTTTACCGTAATTTTCCGTTAAAATATTAACGGTTATATTTTCGGGTGTGTTTTTTATCGCAACTCTTCATTAAAATATTGACGGGTTTTTTCGGTTGTGTCTTTTCATTGCAACTTTCCGTTAAAATATTGGTTGTTACTTTATTAGTTTGTGTCTTTTTATCGCAATTTTCCGTTAAAATATTGACGGTTATTTTTTCTCGGTTGTGTCTTTTTATCGCAACTTTCCGTTAAAATGTTGACGGTTATTTTTTCTCGGTTGTATCTTTTTATCGCAACTCTTCGTTAAAATATTGACGGTTAATTTTTTAGTTGAAGGTTATTTTTCGGTTGTGTCTTTTTTTCGCAACTTTTCGTTAAAATATTAACGGTTACTTTTTTCGTTGACGGTTATTTTTTTGGTTGTGTTTTTTTCTCGCAACTTTCCGTTAAAATATTGACGGTTACTTTTTCGTATCTGTTTTTATCATAACTTTTTGTTAAAATATTGACGATATTTTTTTCTCGATTGTGTCTTTTTTTGTCTGTTAAAATATTGACGGTTATTTTTTTCTCGGTTGTGTCTTTTTATCGCAATTTTTTGCTAAAATATTGACAGTTAATTTTTCTCGGTTGTATCTTTTTATCGCAACTCTTCGTTAAAATATTGACAGTTACTTTTTTCGTTGACAGTTATTTTTTTGGTTGTGTCTTTTTATCGTAACTTTCCGTTAAAATATTGACGGTCATTTTTTTTGTTTGTGCCTTTCTATCGCAACTTTCCGTTAAAAGTTTGACGGTTATTTTTTCTCGGTTGTGTCTTTTTATCGCAACTCTTCGTTAAAATATTGACGGTTCCTTTTTTCGTTGACGATTATTTTTTTGGTTGTGTCTTTTTATCGAAACTTTTCGTTAAAATATTAACATTACTTTTCTCGTTTGTGTCTTTTTATCGCAACTTTTCGTTAAAATATTAACGGTTATTTTTTTTCGGTTGTATCTTTTTGTCCTAGCTCTATGTTAAAATATTTACGGTTACAATTTTTCATTGATGGTTATTTTTTCGGTTGTGTCTTTTATTGTAATTTTCAGTTAAAATATTGACGGTTTCTTTTTTTGTTTTTGTATTTTTATCATATTTTTCCGTTAAAATATCAACGGTTTTTTTTTCTCAGTTGTGTCTTTCTATCGCAGCTTTCCGTTAAAATATTGACGGTTATTTTTCTCGGTTGTGTCTTTTTATCGCAAATCTTTGTTAAAATATTGACGGTTATTTTTTTCCGTTTGTATCTTTTTATCGAAATTTTTCGTTTAAATATTGACTGTTATTTTTTCTCGGTTGTGTCTTTTTATCGCAACTCTTCGTTAAAGTATTTACGGTTACATTTTCGTTGATAGTTATTTTTCTGATGTGTCTTTTTATCATAACTTTTCGTAAAAATGTTGACATTTACTTTTTTTTTTGTTGTGTCTTTTTATCTCAACTTTTCGTTAAAATATTTACGGTTATTTTTTCTTGGTTGTGTTTTTTATCGTAACTTTCTGTTAAAATATCAACGGTTATTTTTTCTTGGTTATATCTTTTTATCGCAACTCTTCGTTAAAATATTGACGGTTACTTTTTGTGTTGACGGTTATTTTTCTGGTTGTGTTTTTATATCTTTTTGGTTTTGACCCGCTAGAAATTCTCTATATTATAACTCTTCGTTAGTTATTTTGTCACTTATAAATAATTTTATATTCACCAAAAATGTTTCAAAAGTGTTTTTTAATCATAATTTTTTTTTTTTTACATTTTTATTCGTAAAATTTTTTTAATATCTTTAGAAAATATTTACGATATAACTTTAAGACATAGTTAATTTTATATAATAATTCAATTTTTTGAATATATTATAATAATAATTTAAACCATAAACGTAATAAAATATATTTGTTGAAAATGAGTTCCCCGCGATATCGCGGGGTTCATAACCTAGTACAATTAATAATCCTAAGAGACATTTTAAGGTACCAGGCTAGCTAGTTGTAGGATTCTGATATAAATAAAATATTTGACCAAAACTATATATTGATGGCTACCTGAGAGCTGATTGTTAGACAAGTCGAGTTCAGGGACGTTGCCAACAAAAGAACCGAAAGAGTTTGGTATAGAACCGGTTAGCTTATTATCATGGATCTCAATGGCTTCAAGCTTGGGCATCTGAGATAGCGAACCGGGAATTGGACCAGTCAATTGGTTATAGGAAAGGTCCAAGAAAGTGAGGTTCTTGAGGTCGCTGATGTTATCAGGAATTGGACCGGAGATATTGGTGTGTTTTATAAAGAGGAGGTTGAGGCTCTTGAGCATGGTGATGGCGGGTGGGATATTTCCGGAGATTGTGCTGGAGGAAAGGTAGAGGTAGGTGACGCGGCCGTCAGTGCATTCCACACCGGTCCAGCCCGTACAACAGCCGGTTCGGGGGTTCCAGGAGGAGAGGTAGGGAGGGTTGTTAAGAGATTTCTTGATTTGAAGAAGGGCATTGTTGTCATTTGGGGTGCAACTGTATGAAGATGAGAGGGAGATAAAGATGATGGAGAAGAAGATATAGAGATGAAGAAGGAGATTCATTGTGATCATTGGTGTGGGTTACTTTGAACAAATTGTGATCTATATAATAGAGACTTCAATGGAACACAGCTGTGTAATGTTACTGAATTTGTACAGTTTGGTTTCTACACTACTCCTAAGTCCTAACGTACAATATCCTTTTCATAGGATATATATTTAATTTTGTTAAAAAAACATATATATAATTCATAACACGGTACATATCCTTTTTTTTTGTCATCTGATAGGATATATAAATAAATGTAGAAACAAATTACAAAACGCTATTGTTTCCTGAACTTCCCTACTTCACAAGCCCTACGTGACAACAAAACGCTCACAAGAGAGAAAGTCAACAAATAAAACGCTTCAACCTCTATTCAAACACAGCCGCTTTCTTGCACGGCCACCAAAACCAGTAAACCACATTGCTAGGTTCTACTAGTATCGCTTTGGCCTTGAAGCTGCTCAAATCAACAACGCGAGATAAGGGTTATGTCGTAGCTATAACTAATCTGCAAGGCTTAATCTTGATCGTTCATCTTATAATAGATATATGCCTTGGTTCCACATTATTATGGGTCTTAAGACAAAAAAAACATTTTGGTCCAATAAATTTATATTTTATAGAGTTTTGTTATAAAACTTTTTGTTGTGTATTTGATAAAAAAAAAATTTTAAAAACAAAAAATTACATATATATATATATATATATATCTTATTATATAAAATATTATTTTCAAAGTTAGTAACTCATATGATCGTGTCACGTGTCAAATTTATCAATTTTAGATTTTGACGCATGTTAAACAAAAATTTCCTTTTATTTATTTAAGAAAAAAATTATAAGAAAACTATACGCACATGTCAAATCTATCGATCTCAGAATTTAACACGTGTAAAACAAAAAAAATTATTTACTTAGAAATAAAAATTATAAAGAAATGATACGTATATATCTTATATTAATAAAACAATTCTAAAATCTTAAGAAGATAATTATAAAAAATAGATGTATTCTATTAAATAAAATATAAATTTTTAAAAATATTTATAAGGCAACTATACGTACATATCTTATATAAATTGTTTTTTAAAAAGTAAAGAAGATAACTATAAGAAAACTATATCTATCTTATTAAATAAAAATATAAATTAAAAAAATCATTTACTAATTATAATTTAAAGATACTAGTTCTAAAAGAAAAGGATTACTTTTTGAGAAATTGTTAAAAATGCCCATTTTTCAATACCCCTTTTCAAAAATGCCCCCTTTGAGAGTCCATTTTTAAGTTTGTCCTCTTTTAATTTTTAATGACTATTTTACCCTTATTTGAAACAAAATTAGGTCCACAAAATACAAAATATTTTTTGGCGGGAAAAGTGATCCCGCAATTTTCTCGCCAAAACACTTGTAAAAACCTTTAAAAAACCTTGTAAAATTTTCCCGTAAAAATTTTTCCCGCCAAAAAATTTTCCCGCCAAAAATTTTTTTTTGCGGGAAAAGTGATTCCGCAATTTTTTTTGCGAAATTTTTTTGGCGGGAAAATTTTTGGCGGGAAAAATTTACAAGGTATTTTAAAGGTTTTTTACAAGGTATTTACAAGTGTTTTGTAAGGTTTTACAATGTATTTTAAAAGGTTTTACAAGGTACTTTTAAGGTTTTATAAGGTATTTATAACTTGTAAACCTTATAAAAAACTTGTAAACCTTATAACTTGTAAAACCTTATAAATAGCTTGTAAATCTTATAATCTCTTATAAATCTTTTTAAATATGTTGTAAATCTTTTAATAATGCGTTTAATACTTTATAAATGCCTTGTAAAACACCTTAAAAATACCTTGTAAATTTTAGGCGGGAAAAATTTTCCCGCCAAAAATTTAACGCCAAAAAAATTGCGGAATCACTTTTCCCGCAAAAAAAATTTTTTGGCGGGAAAATTTTTTGGCGGGAAAAAATTTTACGGGAAAATTTTACAAGGTATTTTAAAGGTTTTACAAATTTTTACAAGTGTTTTGGCGGGAAAAATTGGGGGATCACTTTTCCCGCCAAAAAATATTTTGTATTTTGTGGACCTAATTTTGTTATATTTCCTTATATATTTATGATATCTTTTATTAAAAGAAGGGTAATTTAGTCATTTTGTACATAAAAGGGGTATTTTTAAAAATGGACATCCATAGGGGGCATTTTTGAAAAGGGGTATTGAAAAAGGGGCATTTTTGTGAGTCTCCCTTACTTTTTCCTTAAAAATTAAAAAGGATTTAAGAAATTATACAATCTTATTATGAAATATAATAATTAAGGAAATTTTATAATCAATTATTAAACCTAGAAGAAAAAGGATTCTAAATACTCACATCTATATAAACAAATAGATAGCCTCCCATTTTCTCAACAAACTAAAAAAAATCTTAGCATAATTATACATATATACTGTATAAAACAATTCTAAAAGTCTAAAGACGATAATTATAAGTATACAAGATGTATCTTATTAAATAATATAGAAATTTAAGAAAAAAAATTATAAGGCAGCTATATGTAGGTATCTTATATAAAATAATTTTAAAATAATAAAGAAGATAATTATAAAGAAACTTTATGTATTTTATATAATAAAAATAGAGATTAAAAAATATTTTACTAATTCTAATTTAAAGCGATTTAAAATTTAAATTTTTAGGTTTGGGTTGATTCTTTTAGATTTAAGGTATAAATATTTTAAGATTTGACAGTAAAAATATTTTTTTGTTTTTTTTTGTCAGCAATTTGACAATAATAATAATGATGATTATCTTGGCAAAATTTATGGTGATTGGTAAATTAAATTTACTTTATTATTAAAACTAATGTACAAACAAATTAAAAATATAGAAATGCAGATAAGTGTATTAAGGCAAAAGATGAATATATAAACAAATATTCAATCTAATTAAGAGTTTTTCTTCTTATTTCTTAAATATAGTTTCTATTCACAATGAAAATTTTAATATATTATTTATTAAATTTAATTTTATTTAAAAATTTTAAAACTCGACCATCTAGCCGGTCCTAATCTAGTATATATATATTTTGCTTTTTCAATATTATATCTACTTTAAAATCTTATTTATTTATTTATTTTTTCAAATATTTTAAAATTCGGCCACTTGATTATTGCAGCACATGAAGGGGCCACTGGCCGTCATGCCGCTCACCCTCTTAATGACTCGGTGCGACGGCCAAAATTGTTTTAAATTTTATCACTAGGAGCGAAACTTATATATTAGAAATTTTGAGCCATTTAGAACAAATATCAAACAAACACAGACATTTAAAAATAATCCCAATTTTATTGATAAAAATAAGAACCTCAACAAGACAAAGGAACAAAAAAAACGTTTCGAAGAATTAAGAGAAATAATCAAAAAAATAAATTATTGCAATCGTATTCCTTTTTTATGAAACAGTTCATAATCAATAGTAAGGCGTCTTGTAGACGTATGGTGGTGGTGGGGACTTGTAGTCAACCTTTGGAGAAGGAGAGTAGTACGGTGGGGGTGGGGAGCTGTAGACGTATGGTGGTGGTGGGGACTTGTAGTCAACCTTTGGAGAAGGAGAGTAGTACGGTGGGGGTGGGGAGCTGTAGACATATGGTGGTGGTGGGGACTTGTAGTCAACCTTTGGAGAAGGGAAGTAGTATGGTGGGGGTGGAGAGCTATAAACATATGGTTTTGGATGTGGCGCGTACTTAGGGCCTTTGTGTTTGTGGCCGGGAGAATTGTAAGATGGGGTTTGAGGGGATGAGTAAGGGTATGATGTCACTGTAGCCGCAATAGAACTTAGGACCACAACATAGACCATGCAGTGCCATAATCCCATCGTTCTTAAGGATCTCATCACACCCATTACTACTCTTCTTATTTCTTTGTTTTGTTATGTTATACTTTAACACGAACACTCTTTATATAGTCTCTCTTTGTGTGTAAATATTATATTATCTTCTCAACTTGTGTTCGTGTGTAGCACTTCCAAGAACATTAGAGGGACGTGCGATGTTGTTTGTTTGAAAAGTAGCGATTCGTGGGGAATATGAAACTTTATTAGATCCTCGAACCTTCAATTTTTTAAATATTTTTTCATTTTATTTTGTGTGAATTTTATCGACTCAATTATTTAATGGAACAAAAGATATCCTTCGATTGATGATTATTTAGATATAGAGGCAATATTTGTTTCATAATTTTAATGTGAATTCAATGGCTTTGTTTATTTTTCTTGCATTTATCTACTGCTTTTTTTCCTAAAAGATTATAAGTTAAAGAATTTTATGGTATATTAGAGTCTTAAGCTGTTTCTTCTTCTGTTAAAGCAACCGGATGCGAATCGATCGTGTGAGCAACATTTGGTTCACGACCATGTTCTTTTCCTCATGGGCGACCACGATCATGATCCATGATAATACAACAAATATGACAAGGATAAACTAACAAAATCTATCGTCAATGTTGCACTTTGTCATGGAGAGCAACATTAAAGAATTATTCTAACAAAACTTCTAGACGGGAAGCAAAATCCAAACAAAAATGAAGAATCGAGCAAATGAGGAAACAAAGATGTGACACCACACATTTTACCATCTAACTACATTAATCTGAGGGATCCACCTGAAAACTTGTACTATATGTTAATTCATGCATGGTTGTTTTTATTTTACTTTTTGGTTTTGTGGTTAGTATTATCTACTAAAATGTTTTTTTTTTTTTTTTTGTTGAGAGGATTTGATTAGACGAGGCTACATACGATTTGATTAACTACTCAAAAACATTTGATCAACTACAAAAAAACATGGTTGTTCTAAAAATGACCATAAGGAAGAAAAAATGTACTTTTATCACGACAAAGATTTGAACTATAGCCTCACAGGCCATCAATGTCTTATATATATACTAGAGAGAAACCCACGCGATGCGTGGGATACTGATTAAAAATATAATTTCAAAATAAATAATACAATAATAAGTTTTGATGTCCTTCCAAATAATTATACATGAATTTGTTTAACACTTTAGGTGGTGTTATTCAATGATGGATTTTAATATAATTGAAATCCAACACTAATCCAGTGTTATTCAACTAATGATTATAAATCTAACGTTAAAATCTGGTGTTATTAGATCTTATACTTCATTAGATTTTAAAAGTTTGGTGTTATTCAATGGTGGAGTTAAAGTCAATTCTTTAAAGTTTGTAAAATTCAGTGTTATTCAAAACTAAAAGACTTGTAAAATCTTTGTATATTAAGTCATTTCAAATGAAACCTCTTTGGAGTTTCATGAGTAAATTATTAGAATCAAAATCCAAGATATACTGCAGAGATTTTGAAATCCACACAAACAAATTCTTAAAACTAATATCAGAAAACAAATCTAAACCTTAAAGAATTGACTTTAACTCCACCATTGAATAAAAGCCCCTTTAGTTATTCCTTTTGTTATCAGTTTAAGAATTTTGTTATAAAGAAAGGTAAAGTACGTATAGAGTGGCTCAAAATAGAAAGTATTGGCATATATATTATGAAAATAAAAATGAAAGTAAAAATTAGTATGTAATACACTTTTTTTGAAGGAAAAAGGTCAACAAAGAATAAAAAGTAGACGTTTTTTTGGAAAAGAAAAAAAAACCCACTTTCCAACGAAAAAATCAGTGATCAAAATCTCAAATATTAGATTTTATCTTTCAACTCTATCATCATCTTCTCCTTCTTTTTTTCTATAACAAAAGTGTAGATAAGGGTTTGACCATTAATTCTAATTTAAAAATGAGCTCGTCATGAAGTTTTTAACTTTTTTTTCACGACATGTGGTCCTTTTTCTTTGTCTTTAAATGCTCAAAAAAAAAAATCCTATATTTTGTCATTGTTTTTTTTTTCATCATCCAAATTATAAGAAAAATTAAAATAGTTTAGAAATAGATAAGATGCTATATTATTTATTTTATATTATCCCTTCATTTTATAATAAATAATTTGCAAGACCTTATTTTTATATTTTAGTTTTGAAAATGCACTTTTTGGTGTGCCATTTTTAAAAAATGTCCCCTTCTTTTGTGTATTTTCAAAAATACGTCTCATTAAACCTGAAAAGGTTTATGAGGTACTTCTGTATGGTAAGTATTACTCAAGCCTCGATCTAAGTATTTGTATGCTTTTATAATGTTACATACGTACTTAGGTAAATCTTATATTTTTAAGGAAATTTTAAAAAGATTTTAAGTAGGTTGTATTTTTGAAAAAAATGTATTGGAAAAAAGCATTTCTAACAATCCTTCAATTTACAATGTCATTTTAATAATTTTATTACATTTTGCTTTTCGAATAGTATTAATTTATGTAATGATTTATAGTTAAATTAAATATGAAATACTATTTTAAAAGAAACTATTATAAGATAATTTGTTGTTAATTGTTTAATATCAATTTCTGGGAAATAAGGTAAAATGTAGAAAAAGAAAACAATAAAAGAATACTTGATTTACTGTGATATGCGTTATAGAACATTGATGAATTTTGAGAATGAATTTTAAGAGTAAAATCTTTTTAAGAAAATAGAATAGGAAATAGAAATGGGAAATGATCTTATAAAAATGTATATGTACATCTTTCATTGTTCCGTTTCAATTTGAATCTATATATACATTTTCGAAGTACAAATATAAAATAAATCTTTGAGTTGGCACTTATTTACAAGAGAATGTCATTGTTATAAATGTTTATCTATTAATTAATACTACAAATTATTTTTGAAACAATTTTTTAGAAATTGTGGCTTCTAAATATGATAACAAATTGATTTTGTTTCTAAATTTGATTAATTGCTAATTTCCTTAAACCTCTCTACCTAATTTAAACATTAATATATGATTATTCTTCCACTTTTATATGATCTTATATTTAATTTATTTTGAATTTATGTAAAATACATATAATTAATAAAATAATATATTTTTCTGCATATAATATGATTTAAAATTTTAAAAACGTACATATATTATTCAATTGATGAAGAAAAAATATATATACAATGTCCCACATTGCTTAAAATTTTGGGCAATGGTTTAGGGTCATACTATAAAAGGACCAAAATGATTCTGAATACAAATGAGAAGGAAGCTTGATTTATCAGGCGCCCAAAATTAAAATTGTTATCTGGTTTACTCCGGTTCCTTATTTTATTGAAACTTTTTAAAAATTTCAAAATATTATAAATTTTTAATTTTTATTAAAAATTAAATATTATAGTCGTTTAAACGTTTGTAAAATTAAATTTTATAAAATGTGAAGAAGAAATTTTATGAAGTTTTATGTATGAATATTTGAACTTTATAAGAATTTATAAGAAACTTTTTAAAAAGTTTAGAGTATTTATAATATTTAAGTTCTATAAAAAGAACAACACACTAAGTTTCTCGATTTTATGAAATTGATTAAATAAGAGATTTGTAACATGAAAACGCAATGTGAAGAAGAAACGTAACGTAAAGAAATATAATGCTACGGTTTTCATTTATTAGATAGAGTAACGTAAGGGAAAAATGGACACTTAACTATAATGTCTAGAAAGATATGCTTAGAGAAGAGAAGACACGAATATTCAGTTGTTTTTTTGAAATTTATTTTGAGTAAATTTGGATAAATGCCCTATTTTTTTACCTTTCTTTTGAAAGTATACTATTTTTTTCTTTACTATATTTTACTATTAATTAAAAAGAATTTATACGTAAAACAGAAAATCTATTAATTTAGTTTTGAAATTAATATTTGAAATAACTAACAATTTTAATAATTTTTATCTTAAATATTTCTTTTAAACAATCTAAAATAATTGTGAATTCACCTATGAAGTGAATCATGTTTCTTCATTTGATTTAAATTTAATAGGTCATCATTACTTTGTAAAATCTCTTGACTAAAATTACTTTTGATTGGATTTCTATTAGTTTTTGGTACTCCATCTCTAATCGATAACACATGTAAATAAAACAAAGAATATTATGTTAGAGTTATAAGCCATACGTTGATTTAATCAATGATACATGTATATTACATTATTCTACCAATGTTAAGTCGTAATCTACGTTAACCTTGAAATTGGAGAAGACTTTGGAGTTGAAAATTTTGATTATTACATTGAGATTTTTTTTGTTTATACAATATTAAGGGATAGACTTTTTAATATTTTTAGATATTATCTTATTAAATTTAATATATAAAATAAATAAACTATCTTTATCTCAAAAAATAATTATAAGGATAATTAATATTATTTTGAATTTTTCTCTCAATTTTCGAATTTAGTTATAATTTTACTAAAAATACAGCTTTCAATTTAAATATAGACGAAATTGCCATTTTATATATAAAAATTTGTAATTTTCATTAGAAGTAGAAAAAGGGTATTTTTCAAACGAAAACTAAAAAATATGATAGTTTTCAAAATCACCCTTTTATTTTCTAAATATAATTACAAATTAATCACCACTAATTACCATTAATTGGAGAGGGACACATGTCAGATGCATAAGATGACAAATGACATGATAATAGAGTTTTTTCAAAAAAATAATTACAAACTAATCACCACTAATTACCATTAATTGGAGAGGGACACATGTCAGATGCATAGGATGACAAATGGCATGATAATAGAGTTTTTTCAAAAAAACCTTGTCATATCTACTATACATTTTTGCAGCAGTTTTTGGGGTACCCAAATCGGGTCAAATTTATTTAATTTTGATCCGGAAATCTTCAATCGGATCTTTCCTTAAATTTTGGCAAAATTAAAAAACGAAAATAATTAATAAAATCTAAAATATATATACTTTCTCAACTAATTACTATATTTAAACGCTTTATTTATGGTATATTCTCCACAATTTTTATAGATAAAGAAATCAAATATGATGATTTAATGTTAATATAACAAATTTGCACTAATTTCCTAAAACCTCTCTACCTAATTTAAACATAAATATATGATTCTTATTTCACTTTTATTTGATCTTATATTTATATTATTTTAAATTATTATAAAATATATAAATAGTTAGTAAATTTAAGTTTTTTTTTTTCTGCATATGTTACAATTCAAATTTTTTAAAACGGACATATATTACTCAATCGATGAATAAAAATATGTGTGTAATCTATATTAACATTTTTAAGAACAAATTGAGCATTTAATCATGTCGTTATTTTATTCAGACCCGAAATTGAGTCATTCGGATCTTTCTTTAATTTTTACAATTATCTAAAATAGGACAGTATATCACGGGTGAAATCCTAATTAGTATTTTAAGATACAATTATAAATTGTTTTTACGGGTTGGTCCAAAAACACACACTAATTTAAAAATATACATGGAAACTATTTGAAAGCAACTTTCAAATTAACTCGAATTATATGACATTTAAATAAAAGTGTTATTAAAAAATAACAAAATGATGTTTAATTTCATTTTAGATTATATGGTTGGACAGGTTTGGGTCAATATTAATACGAGACAATATACCACAGGTGAAATCCTATAAATAACAAATCAAAATACAATTATACAATCTTAAACACTAAACAAAACAAATACAACATAAAATTTTTTATTTTAGATACAACGCATGTTACCCGCGGTATACAACAAAAAATATTATACATAATAAATTCATCAATTTATAAAAATAAAAAAATCAAATAATTAACCCGCGGTGTACCGCGGGTCATATCCTAGTTATATAAGATAACCTGTCACTATTTAACATAGAAACAGGAATCTTTAAGATACATAAAAACAGGAACCTTAAAGATACATAGAAACAGAAACCTTAAAGATACATATATATACTTTCTTGACATCAAATAAATGTACTAAACCTTTTCATAATGCATTGGACATGACATATCACTGATGGTAGTTCGACGGGTAGAAATCATCAAGGCAAATCCGAATTTGAATTTTATTGCTCACTTGAATATCTACCAAGAGACAAACCAATTAGCTAACTATTTTTAATTCGTAACTAATTAAGGACCCATACGATAAGTATTAACTTTTTTCATGAGGATTTGTTCATTTAGCTACGGATTGAAAAAATATATATAAGTATATAATTTCAGTAGTAATTGACTAATTGTTAGGCATTCGATTATATTGACGGTCCAATTTATGTCTACAAGCGTTGGTCATCAAGTAATGTACCTGACCACGTGAGTTTGGATCTACGCCTCTACTATATTTTAACTAGGCATCAATTCTTGAAAAATGTCTTATGATACAGTAGTTAATGTCTCATTTATTATCTAGAAGTGCTGAGTTCAAGTCTTAGTAATCCAAATTTTATTTTCTATAAATGGGAAACCAATTTTTCTTTTTGGGCTTTTTAGGCATGTAAATACTTTGGACCGTCCCTGTTCATCACTTAATTTTTATCTTACGACTTGATTTGGTATTAAGTATTAACCAACTATATTTATGAAATAGCAGGATTTGAGTCATGTGACAGACAAGAAGACAAACTCTTGAAGCTCTTATTTTTTTTTTAAGTAAGAAAAAGGGACTTAAGAAAAGCATGAACCATATCGTGGATGTTTTTCTTTCTAAGAATTATTTTCCATGCATCTGCGTTTTTCACGTAAAATGGAAAAAAAAAACTTGACCATGAAAAAACAAAAAAAAAGCTTTTGGGATCATCACATTAGGGTTTTCGGATATAGTTAGTGACTTACAAAGACTCCAAACGATGGAAGGTTTTTTGGAAACATGTGCCAAAACAATTATGATTTTAGCCAAGACAATGGCAATTTCAGAATCAGTCTTTTATACAAGAGTGTCAAGTTTAGCGCGTCCTTATCTATATTTTCCTATTTTTAACCACAAATCCAAATTTTAACTATTTGTCAGCCATGGCATAGACCATTTGATGATCATGAGGGCATGACCCATGGTCCGTGCCAGCTGCCAGGACACGATTTTGTCAGCCATGCCATAGACCATTTACAATTTTAACTTTTTGATTTATTATCTTCACCTATTTTCAACCACAAATCCAAATTTCGTGTCTTAGTACACTAGTTAGATTAGATTGGTGGCCCATGCTAACAATGGCGCTACTACGACGTTAAATAATTACTTTGAATAATTCTACAAGAAGTATACATAATTTGTTTTGAATAAATAATAATATTTTTTTATTGAAAAATGTATCTAATGAGACTTTCAATTTAGGAGATAAATATTCAATTTAGTTTATGTTTGTTTGCGTTGGATACTCTAAAATTTTATATTTATTGAAATTGAAATTGATACTCTTCAAATGAGTTTTATCGTTGGTGAGTTGATGAATACTCCTAAATTTTATATTTATGTTTATTGAAATTGATACTCTTAAAATCAATTTCATTATTGAGTTCGATACTGTATTAAAATTAAGATTCATAACAGAAACAATAATTTAGTAGAATTAGTTAATGAAAATAACGGTAACAATAATTTACATCACGGAAACCATAACATAGAATCAACTAATATAAAACACTAAACTTAAAATTGAAATGTGAACAAATGTCTTACATTCTCATTGTTCATCCACAATTTCATTGTCTTTGCTCACAGAATTCTTCTTTTTGTTTGCGGTGTAGCTCCCGAAGAGACTCTCCATCTCCTCTAGAGGCATACCACGTGTCTCCGGGAGGAAAGTGAAGAAGAAGACCCATGCGGCAGCTGCAACTCCGGCGAAGAGAAGGAACGCACCACCAATGGTGAGACCTTTAGAGAGAGATAGGAATGTCATTCCTATAATACCACTCATTAGTCTATTCAACATCACTCCTAAACTTGCCCCTTGAGCTCTTAGCCTCACAGGGAATATCTCTGAGCAGTAAACCCACGTCACCGGGCCTGCACCTATTGAGAAAGTTGCCACAAACGTCATCACTGTCGTAACGGCTAGCCCTATGGCCCACTTGATCGTTTGGCCCGGGTTCCTGTCGATCACGGTAAGACTAGTTCCGAGAGCGGTCAAGGAAAGAAACATTCCACCCATACTCGTAAGCAACAAGGCACGACGTCCAAACCGGTCCACCACACAAGTTCCTACCACGATGAAGAGAGTCTTGACAACTCCGACAGCGACCGTTGCCAAGAGCTGATCATTCTTGGACTTCAGTCCAGCCCTTGAGAAGATGGTCGGAGAGTAAAGCACAACCGCATCAATTCCGGAGGCTTGTTGGGCGAAATGGATGCCAAGGCATGCTATGAGAATGTGTCGAACGGACGGGGTTGGTCGGACGAGAAGGTCCTTCCACACGCCTTTTCCAGCGCTCTTCTTGTTCGGCACGACTATAACATCGTCTGTCATATCATCGGGGATTCCAGCCGCGCGTTTGATGTCATCGAGCCTCGTGATGGCTTCTTCTTTAGTGTTTGAGGTTTTGTCAAGGACTTTAAAAGCATCACCGAGACGACCTTGGAGGACGAGCCATCTTGGGGACTCCGGCATTGCCAACACTCCGATGGCTAGGAACACCGAGGGAACCGCTCCAACCCCTAACATGAACCTCCATCCAAGGTGCTCGGGAAGCTTGGAGAAAAAGTAATTTGATACGTATCCCAAAAGTATACCAATATTGATAAATATCTGCATACAAAAATCACATTATCATCAACCTCCGTTTTCATTCCCAATCCTACATAAGAAAAACAAAACTTTGAATTTATTGAACCTCAGGGAAAGAGCTGAGGAAGCCGCGAGAAGAGGCAGGAGCGACTTCTGCGGTGTAAACAGGCGCAATCATCATAGCATAACCGACACCGATACCGGCTACAAAACGGCCAACCATAATGAAAGGGTAGTTTGTGGCAAAACCCATGAGAAGGGCACCGCAAAAGAAGAAGGCTCCTGCCAACACTATGGTGAACCGTCTTCCAATCCAATCAGAAGTTCTACCGGCCGCACCGGAACCAATCAGAGAGTAGATGTTTAAAATTCCCATAAGAATCTCAAGTTGTACATCCGACAGTTTCAAATCGTCTTTTATGAAAATCGCAGCTCCACTCATTACTCCAATATCTACAACATTCCCAAACATGTAAGAATGATTATCTAAACCGTAAAACCAAATAAAATACAAAATTGACTTAGAATTCAAAAAGAAGACGAACCGTAACCAAGGATGATAGAAGTCATGGAGGCTAAAATTGCACAAGCAAAAGCATATCGGCTTCTATTCCCCCTCGGTGGCTCGGAATCTGCAATCACAACACCTTGTTCTACTCCCAAGGAACTCATCGTTTCCGCGGTGATTGTAAGACTTAAGGTGAAAATGAAATTGGTGAGGAGAAAAGTTTGATAGTAACACGTGAACTCTGATACTTGTGAGTTAAGAAACCTTTTGGAAAATGAGAAGATTTAAATAGATGTGTGATGCTCACAACTAAAGCCAACTAATACCAACTGTTTGAAACAAGCAATACAGTCAGTAAACTGATTACTTGTTAGGCTGTTACAGAAGAAAATGGTTAAATAAAGTTTCAAGGTTATCAATTAGATTAGAAAATATCCAGAGATGCAACTTTTTTTTCTCTCATATCTACATTTTTGTCCTAAAATTGGCATTTTACGATAAGATTAGTCTCCTTTTTTGGGTCTTTTTGGTTGTTGTTTCCAAAGTTAGAAACATAGGTAAATAATTGGCATCAATAAATGTGTAAAAACAAAAACAAAAAAAAAAAGTCTAGATCTAACCCGTGTTCAAAAAATCGCTAGGCGCTAGTCGGGCGGTGAGGGTGCGCCTAGCGCCTAGCAAGAAAATCGGGGATTACACGGGGATTAATCGGGGATTAGTTTTAGGGCTATTTAATATTTTAAAAACATATTAATCCATTATAATTAAGAAATTTATATAATATTGTTTTTAAAATTATATTAAACACATGAAAACAAGATTTTAATTTCAAATTTATGATTTTTATACAAATTACGAACATAAGTAGGACGTTTTGAATTTTAGATGAAAAAAAAAAGTTAAAAAAAAAAAAAAAAAAAAAAAAAAAAAAAATTGGGCTAGGCGCCGTCTAGGCGGGCTAGGCGGCCGCCTAGGCGGTCTAGGCGGACAAAAAATCGGATCTCTGATTTTTCTCACCGATTTGGACAAAATCGCCGCGGTGCTCCTCCGACCAGCGCCTAGGCGGCCGCCTAGGCGGCTAGGCGGCCGATTTTTAGAACAGGGGATCTAACCAATGCAAGCAAGAATTGTGTATATATACACAATCAAATTAATTTGCAGAATCTCATTTTCTCTTCATAAGAAGTATTAACCATCAATCTACAACCAATACTATTGTGATGAGTCTTGAGACTTGATCCACAACTCCAATCATCGCCTTTGTAGTTTATCTCATATTGTAGCTAGTTGTTTTAAATTATTAGAGTTGGATTGTTTTATATTGTAGAAATATAGTGTTATATAATTCAGAAATTCACTCTCTTTGAAAAATCTTATTATATTTTTACTAGTGACAACATGTACAAGTCCAGCACAGTTATCGACTGAGATTTTGTGTTGGATGTGTTATATGCTAATTCCAGCACAACAAACCATTTATCACGTCTTGGAAAAGACTGGATATTTTTGGCTTCTAGAAAAGTTTTGTTTCATAACTCCAAGCAATTCGGAATCAATCGGATGGTGTATAATGCAATAGAATTACTGTCACCCTAATGGAGATTGTGAGAAGAAAAGTTGATAGAGTCAAGATGATCGATAGTTTTAACACAATAGCTGAAATGATCATTTTTTTTTGTGGATTTTGCCCAGCATGTCACATTCAACCAAGACAAAATTAATAAAAGTCTCCTCGCTGGACACCTCAATGATTCTACTCTTGGTTTTTATCGTGTGGTGTAAGGGGCTTACTCCTATACAATCTTTGGATTTTGTTGATAAAGTAGTTGGATATTGTCTCTTAGTAGGACGTAAGCTTGAGAGCTTAACTGTTGAAGAACTGATACAGGGGTGGCCTACTCACTTTGGAGATGATCTTAATGACCACATTAACGTCAAAAATTCAGTGAAGTTGTTTTGTTCTGAAGGGTCCATTGGACCGTATAGTGTGGACATGCAACTTAGCTATTGGGTGAGAAAGCTTTGCATGCATAATCCCATCTAAGTATATATCTAGCCATGATCAGAGTTGAATCAAATTACAAGGATATTATGAAGAGGAATGAAGGACATGGACATGTAGATGCATCACTTAAATCTTTTGAACATTTCCCCACTTTGATCTAACTTTTTGCTATTTCTTGTGACATTTTGTTACTACTTATGGTGTTATTAACTTTTTGCTACTTCTATCAATCCTTTAAGATGAATGTGTATGATATTCACGAATTTAAGATTTTCAAAGTATCATATAGATAAACTTCCTTCTTTAAGAAAAAAAAAAAAAATCAATTGCCAATAGCTCAACTGGTAAAACATCTCAGGCTAAGCCTAAAAAGTCGTTGGTTTGAATGGCACTTGGGAGAAAACCATATGAAATATTCTGGTCTCTAGACTGAGAGAATGTACGGGTCTCGACCTAGGCCTAGAATTTCTTAGTTATTCAAGGGAAAAAAACATATACAAGCTAACTCTTTAATATTTAAAGTTGGATGTATTTTATTGTAATAATAGAACAATATGTGATGCTAACTTAGGAAAATAATTGTTATGCATGTTGGGATTCAAATCTACATTTTATAAAATTACCTAATGAAGACAAACAGAAGAAACAGTTTTAACAAATTACATAGAAATACAAAAAAAAAAAAAATCGTAAAAGTATATATTGAATAAACTTATATACTTTATGAATTTCTGGTTTGGATTTGTAGGTGAATCTTTAATTTCTCTTTTTCTTGTTTTTCTTTTGAGACTTTGTACATTGTTCTTGGTTCTGCTCCGAATTATGAGGCTCTTACACAAGCCGTCGACTACCCCTCTTTTGTTTTTATAATTAATAACAGCAAGCATAAGTTCATGAGCTCCATCTTTTATTATTAAGCCACCATATGTTTCAGGTGGTTGACTTGATTTTAATATACAACGATGTGTGGTGATGAGAACATAAAAGAATGTGACTTGGTGTTCTCTTATAATTGTCGTGACTTGGTGTTCTTTAACAATTGTTGTAATAATGAAAACATGTGACTTGGTGTTCTCTAAAAATTGCTGTAAAATTTCTCTTATGTTAAGTAGAGTGATGTTTATGATTACCAATATATGTTGTGTTATACATGTGTCAGGAAGCATTGGAGGAAATAGGAAAGCTATATGGGAAGAAAGTTTTTGGTTTTGGATGTACATAATGTAAGCTATTTCTCTAATCTTTTTTCTTGTTTTGATTATTGGCAGTCACTTTCTTCGTATCGTTGGTCTTAATACAACTGTAAAGCTGTATTTTTAACACTAATTAACTGGAGACTTAGCCAAGAGCTTTGCCAATCAAAGCTACGGGAACCAATGGAGAAAGAGTCAGATTTCTTACCGGCGCAATGTATGATGTGTTGTCTCAGAGTTAGTGGTGTTGTTACAGTCACTGGAGTATGCCACAAGGATAAAGAAATTGCTCAGGTAAAAAACTGTGCTCTTTGTTTATTTCTTTTATGTTCCTATTACTATTTTGATAGTTTCTTTTACTTTTATTCCGTGTTGATTCATATTAACAATTACTGAGATGGAATAATATTTTTGGATTTTTGAGTTAGGCTTAGAAAATTAGGCCTGAGTTCAAGTAAGATGTTGCGGCTATGTCTTGGCTCAGGTAAGGAAAATTCTGGTCTCGTTTTAATTGGATTTCATTAACGAACGTGTAACACCCGCGATCCTCAATAGGATCGCCGGGGAAGACTTGGTTCGAGGGAAGTGTGGAAACCTCGGGCTAAGTCTAAGGGAAGCGGATAGAATGGCTTCCGAAGTGCTTAACAAGCTGAAACGAGCTAGAAGTGACGAGCTAACCAGCTCGACTAGCTGGACCAGCTGATTGGTAGCTCACCTAAGCTGGACGGAGTGAAGGTCAGCTGGTCGAGTGACAGTCTAGCTAGGTCAGCTGGTCGGGTGGGAAGGTAGTAAGGCGGTTGGGTTGACGGTTACGTACGTTGGCCGAACAGACACGGACGAACGGTTACTCAAACATGCATGAATGAGCGGTTTCAACGAATACATGCGAACAAG